GCCCACCGACCCCACGGTGGGCGCTCCCCGCCTGCGCCATGTGACGGCTCCCGGTGCTTCCGGCGCCTCCCGAGCCCGGCGACGCGGACGGCCCGCGCGCTGAGCATGCGCGGAGCCACGCCCAACCCCGGACTCGGCCGCCTGGGTCCGGCCGGTCCCGCCCTCTCCCTGGCCGGAGATTCGGCCCCGTGGCGTCGGACGCCTTCCTGAGCCCGAGGGAGCGAAGCCCTTTCGTGCGGACCGTTTTCCCTGTCCGCAGCGGCCCGCAGGGTGGCGGCTTTCAAAACTTTGCCGGCCGGGAAGGCTCTTGGGTCCGGCTTCTTGGAGCGCTCCATCTGGGCCTCGGGGCCTCCTTTTTCTGAAACAGACCCAGAATGCCCAGTGCTTCTGGTCCCGCGTCTCAGTTTAAAGTTCACCGCTTCTTCGGAGCTATTTTTCTGACCTGCGCTCAACAACTCCCACCCAAACCAAGCCACCACCACCACCAAGAGTCCATCTTTGGGCCCCTCCTTTGGATTCTCTAGCACGGAACTCTCACTCCGCCACACAGGGTCCAGACTAGGTGACAGCAAACATTTGAGTGAAAGAATCTTTATTTGGCGGTGGTGGTGCCGTGAGGAAGACAATCATGGAGGAATGATTGGTCCTCACCCGACCTGAGGCAATGGCCAACGCAATGCACGGCCCACGATACTACGCTATTTGATCCACTCCACCCCTTCCCCCCCCCCACCCCGCCCCGCGATGTTCTTCCTTGTTGGGATCGCCCGCTTCAGTGGGGCAGAAGATTCTACATTACCCTTCTTTGACCCTTCATCCAGCTCAAGAAAACAGTGGGATCAACCGCCCTGCTTCTGGTGAGATATCCATGGCCTGCCATACTTTCATACAAAGATATTGACTTATGTCTATAAATAGTACATTAAAAGCGTTATAACTTATAGTTACTTGTTTTACAAGAGAGCAGCTTACCTTCACTTCACCCACAACACTTGTGAACCATCATAGTATTTGTAAGGATACTGGAGTAAGTGAGGTCATAGGCGACCACATGACTCACGCTGGGGATGGAGGGAGCAGCACTGGCTTCCTCACGCCTGCTAGGCTTTCTGAGGGCTGATGGGAATTAGTCCCTCCCCCACCCAGCCTCCTTCCCCTTCTCCCACTTGCTGCACCAGCTTAGGAAATTCTGTGGAGATTCAGGCAGGGAACCATTTTAACACCCACTTACCTAAGTGTTTAGGTGGGTGCAGTCCTAGCTCTCCTGCATACCATGGCTCAGTTCAGAATCACCAAGGCTAAACTGACCTCTCCAAAGACCCACACAAGTTGGGGGTGGGGAGGGGAGGGCGCAACACATCCTAGCTATGACAGCTGAAATGTAATGTTCAGTTTGACAGGGCACCCACAGGATTCCCAGAGGGTATTTACTTGAGCATGACTTACCACTGAAACAGCTCTCTAGAGTAACAGTATACAAATAATGGGATCCTAGGCTAGAGGGCCAGTGGAGCTTCCCATCCTACTCAGGACTTCCGAGAGCTATAGAGACAAGTTTCAAGTTGACCATGGTCAGTGGTGGGGCTCTCCTCTCTTGGGACTGCAGTCTCTTCATTCCGCCTGCAGGGAGCTCTAATGGTGAGAAAGCAGTCCCTCATGTTAGCCTTAACTCAGCCTCTCAGTAGCTCCCATCTGCTCGGGTCTGGTTCTGCCTTCTGTTCCTTTTGGCTATGACCCCAGCATCCCAGGCTAAAGATGCTTATAGACTGTTGTTGCCTGATACCTCATTGTACTGACTTCTCTCTAGTTCATGGTTTTTAAATCTTGGAAGATCCATCAAAAAATAGTTTGAATTTTAATCCAGTTGGTTTCCCTTGGGTCCTTGCTCAGCTTAAGAACACTCAGAAGAATACTGTAGTCTGATAAAATCATGTTCATCAACCATTGAACTGTTGCCCACCAGTGGAACTGTATAGCATCTACTCAAAGGAAAAAATAGAGTTATAGGATTCTGGGGGAGGGTAGAGTTTAGGTGAAATTTAAATTTTTATCTTCACCTCCACCTTGGGCAGGTAGATCTGGTTAATTTCACGAAGCAACTGCAAGCCAGTCTGTTTCCAGAATTACTGGTTTAAAAACCAATCCACATTTTTTTTTTCATCTTTCTTGCCCTTCAGAATGTTCGAAGCTTTTTTTTTCTTTTTACTAATAATGGGATATATATGTGCTTAGAATCTCTCCCATAGATCTATCCCATGGATAGGAGATATTACTCAGTTTTGTAAAACCAAAAATACAGGGAAGAATGTTTAGAATATTAATATATATTTTAATCAAATACAAAGTTTAATAACAGGAGGCTAAAACGTGATTGTTTGCTTTCTAGTCCTAATGATGCCTTCTCAAAGTCAAGGGACACTTGACTCAGACCAGCCTTATCTAGTTCCTGGAGAGGTGGACCTGCAAGTTTTGGGGTGGGGTAGAAGTCAGTGAAGAAGGTGTGACACTTAGGGCCCCATTATATAGGTGCCTACCCTGCACTTCCTTCCTTGCCTCCTAATCCTCATGTCTTCCCAGATCACTGCCCCTGCAGGATCTAGCTTTTGGGGAAAGAGGAACTGTTTCTGATGGCAGACTGGGGGTGATAATCCAGAGCTTCGTTGGGTTGAATGCCTGGAAGTAGATCAAGTAAGAGCTTCCAAATGGTCTGCTTTGGGTTTTTGGCATTAAAACCCCTGAGATTTTAGGGGTACCTGGGTGGCTCAGTCGGTTAAGTGTTTGCCTTCAGCTCAGGCCCTGATCCTGGGATCGAGTTCGTGCGCTCCCTCTCAAATAAATAAATAAAATCTTTAAAATAAATAAATAAATAAAACCCGTGAGATTTTAACTTAGAGCCCTGAGTTTGTGAGTTTTATTTCCCATTTGCTTTAGTTCAATGGTTGCCAACCCTGACAAATGATGGAATCACCTCAGGAGATTTTAAGACATACCAATGTCCAAGCTAGTGCTTCCGTCCCAGAGATTCCCATGTAACAGGGCCTCAACCTCTCCAGGTGATTCTAATATGCAGCAGGCTTGAGAATCCCAGCTTTAGAAAGACTTTAGAGATAGATTTATTCAACTCTCCCATGGTTTTGAGCCCTCTATGTTTCTATCTATAAAATCAAATCCTCTCGGGACACCTGGGTGGCTCAGTCGGTTAAGCGTCTGCCTTCGGCTCAGGTCATGATCCCGGGGTCCTGGGATCGAGCCCCGCATCTCATCAGCCTCCTTGCTCAGCGGGGAGACTGCTTCACCCTCTGCCTGCCACTCCCCCTGCTTGTGATCTCTCTAACAAATAAATAAATAAAATCTTTAAAATAAAATAAAATAAAATCCTCTCTTCCATCTCTTTAAAAAGCATGTACTGTTGACCCTTGAACAACACAGGTTTGAACTGTGTGGGTCACCTTAAACAGAATTTTTTTAATATAAGTACAATACAGCTGTAAATGTACTTTCATTTATGATTTCCTTAACATTTTCTTCTAGCTTACTTCATTGTAAGACTGCAGTATATAATATATGTAACATACAAAATCTGCGTTAACAGTTTATGTTATCAGTAAGGCTTTAGGTCAACAGTAGGCTATGGGTAGTCAAAGTTATACACAAATTTTCAATGCATGGAGTTGTATTGTTCAAGGGCTATGTAATTTATATACATATGTATACACACATATATGGCTGTGTGTGTGGATAGATAGATATGTGTATGTATGCATTTGGAAATCAGTCTCTTTCTGTTCTACTTTCTTTCTAGAAGCTAATTTATAGCTCTCCTCCCGACCCCGCAGAAGTCCCCTGCAGTTCTTCCTTGTGGCTGCTATTTGTAGTTGGTGTTGGCCCTGAAGGCATACAGAATTACTTAGTGGTTTTCTGACTTTCCTTCCTGGTTTAGGCTCTGAGGTTGATTTGCTTGATTATTTTCATAGAGACAATGACATCATTTGTTTTTATTTCTATTTTTGAAGGTGAAGCTATTTGCTCCTAATGCTGAGCAGATGTACATTGTTAATCACTTGAAAGAGAGCCCAGCAGAAGAGAAGAGAAATGTGCTGGAGGAAAATGCCAGGAGAGCCCATGGGGACATACAAGATTTGGCAGACCTGAACTCCAGCAAGCTTGAAGCTGTCATTATACCGGTGAGTTAACTGAAAGCTGTGAGACCAGCCGTTCATTTTAATTAACGTTCACTGACTTTAAAGCCCTTTGCAGAAAGAGTGGTGCAGACTTAGCTACCATCTTGAAGCCTCTGTGCCAGGTTCTAGATCACGGTTCTCAAACTTTGCTGCACATGAAAGTCACTTGGGAAGCCTTTAAAAAGTCTCAGTGCCTGGATCACACCTGAGACCAGTCGCATCAGACTTCCTGGGGCTGGAAACAGGTGGTAGTGCTTTTTGATGCTCCACAGGTTCTCCCACTGTGCGGCCAAGTTTGAGAACCAGTGCTTTATGAAGAGTCACCAGTCATTCCCAGACTTGGCTGCACCTGGAATCACCTGGAGGACTTTAAAACCACCAGTGCCTGTGTCCCCATGGCCTGGATTTTGGAATTTTTAAGATTCCCATATGATTCTCATATGCAGACAAGTTTGGGAACCACTGCTCTATAAAAGCATGTCTCTAAGTTTAATAGGTATGTGAATCACCTGGAGATCTTGTTACAGCGCAGGTGCTGATTCAGCTCCCAGGTGACAGGTGGCATGCAGCCCACGTTTTGAGGCCTTGAGACGCTGGAAATCACAGTGGAGGGTTGCCTGTTTCTGGACCTTTTCAGTGCAGGAATCACTTTATAGATAGGTGACTCTACCTTTTAAAATAAATGATTGATTTACAAGTATGATTGTCTTAGATGTTTTTTACTTCTTTTTATTTAATCCCCTCATAAGGAACTGTGTGTTATATATTGATCTTTTTCAGACTAAACAGTTTTAGTTTGTTTAGTTTGTTCAAACACTTAAAATCAGTTTTATTTTAAGATTATTATTTTTTAAGATTTTCTTTCTTTCTTGAGAGAAGGCGTGCACGTGAGCACACACACACACACACACACACACACACACGAGCAGGGGTGAGGGGGCAGAGGGAGAGAGAATCTCAAGCAGACTCCTCCCTGAGCATGAGCCTGACACAGGGCTCGATCTCATGACCCTGAGATCATGACCTGAGCCAAAATCAAGAGTCAGATGGATGTTTAACTGACTGTGCCACCTAGGCACCCTTATTTTAAGGTTATTTATTTTGGGGGGCACGTGGGTGGCTCAATTGGTTAAGCATCTGCCTTTGGCTCAGGTCATTTTCCTAGGGTCCTAGGATTGAGCCCCGCATTGGGCTCCTTGCTCAGCGGGGAGTATGCTTCTCCCTCTCCCTTTGCTGCTCCCTCTGCTTGTGCTCTCTCTCTCTCAAATAAATAAATAACATCTTAAAAAATAATCTTGTTTTAAGATTTTATTTATTTGAGAAAGAACGCACATGAGAGAGCACGAGGGAGAGGGAGAAGCAGTCCCCCCAACCCGCTGAGCAGGGAGCCCGACTCAGGGCTCAGTCCCAGGGTCCCTGGATCATGACCCAAGCTGAAGATAGGCGCTTAACTGACTGAGCCACCCAGGCGCCGCTATTTTAAGATTATTTTAAATGTTCACAATATTCTTGAAATCTTTGGAGGTGGTTTGGAGATGTCCTACAGTGAGAATCAGAAATCATTGTTTTAGATAAGGAGTGTGGTGCTGTGGATACTCACATGTCTATCTGAACAGGTTGCTTACTGCTATTTTACATACAAAGTATTCCAGATGTCTATTGCTGGGTAACAAGCACCACCAAAATTTAGCGTCTTCAACAATAATTTATTATCTTTCCTGGTTCTTTTGGTCGACTAGGCTTAGCTTGAGCTTTGCTTGAGATCTCTCTGGCAAGCTGCATGGTGGCTGGAGCTGCAGGCATCTGAAGGCATGACTGGGCTGGAAGTCACCACCCTGGTGTCTTCACACCATGTCTGGTGCCTAAGCTGGGATTGGTTGGAACAGATGAGCAGCCATCTGGCCATTCCCTGTGGCGATCTTGCGCTTCCTGGTAACCTCTAGACCCCAGGGTGTTTGCGCTTCTCACATGAGAGCTGGCAACCCTCAGAACAACATTCCAAGAGAGCCAGCTTTCCTCTTATGCTCTAGCCACAGATGTCCCTCAGTGTCACCTCTGCCACATTCCATTGATCAAAAGGGAGATTAGATTCAAAGAGAGGAGTCTCCAAAAGGGAACGAATACTAGGAGGCATGGATATCAGGCATTGGAGACTTGCTACACATTATATATACAACATAAATTTAAATATCTCTTTATAAAACCTGGGGGGAACATAAGGGAGATTAATTATTAATTTTATTTGAGCTGCTGGTGTCTTGTAGATTTAGTCTTTTTTTCTTTCACTGCAAATAGGTATGCCCTGAGACAGCTTTGTAAAGATTATTGCCCTTGAGGTCTGATGTTAAAATTAGTTTTCACATCTCAAATGGTGTCACTTGTAAATCAATCAAAAAATTACAGTGGTTTTTAGTATATGTGCTGCCGAAGCGAGCACAAATTACAGTGGTTTTTAAAACAATCTTTTATTCTAATACATAAAGATACAGTTTTGTTTTTAGGAGGACTGAAGTTATCTCAAATGCTCTTTAAAAATTATATTTCTACTTCATACCACACTTGAAATATTTAGCAAAAATTATTATCATGATGGGTATCCCACCTGTATCTTCAGAATTTTACTGTTGATGAAAAATGTTACTATTATTACTTGGTGTCGTAAAATCCACTTTCTACAGGGGCTACATTGAAGCCATGTAAATTCCCTAAGGATCAGGTTTGTGTTTCAGCATTTGGCACCAGCTTTTTACAGAAGGATCTCTGAGCAACTTTGACAAATACAGGTTGCTATTCTGACTTTTAAAAATGAAGTTAAGAAATTAATTAAATCATTGCCAACCCCAGAAGACTTAAAGAAATGTTATTTTTCCATTCTAATTGTGGGTTATTGTGCTCATCTGCCTTAATTCTTTGCTGAAGAATTAATTGTTCATAGGTTCTTCTTGTCAGCTGCCTCAGGTAATCCTGGATTTCCTCTCTTTGGAGGTGGTTTTGGGGTGGCTCAGAGCCACTCCGTGAGCAGTTCGGTAAAGGACTCTTTCTGTTGCATTTCACACATCCTGGCAGCTGACACCTTCGTGCTGTGAAGTCACAGTGGGTCAGGAAACTCATGTGGATGCAGGGGGAGAAAAGGATGAAAAGCTTACTGCCTGGTAAGCAGGTTCTACAGCATTTTCCCATTTTCCTTCCTCCAAATGAGTATCAATGTAACTGCTTTCCTGGTAGCTTAACGAATTATCTTCCATTTGGGGCCTGCCGTATTTGGTAATTGGCACTGGGGTGGGGGCCGGACATGGTGAGGGACGGTGCTTTAAGGTGATGAGACCAGCTGGCTTTGAATCATAGGGAAAATGTATTCATTCGAAACACACTGGCTTACTCCATAAGAAAAAATTTTCAGTATATCAATTCTCTTGTATGATATCATTCAGCTGAATGGATCAAATTATCCTTGCTTTTATTATTTCCTATTGATCTGAGTACATACAGCCTTCATCTTCTCTTACTAAGTGAATATTTAATGAAGCCTCATGTTGGAACAGATTTCTTCCATGCACAGTGCCTGTGGGCTTCAGTTCCAAACACTGCCGCATTTGAGAGGCCAGGGCAAGCTGATCATTTTAACTCTCTTCACAGTCATGCTGTCGATTGCCTAAGAAACATTTTCTTCCACCCAGGTATCTTCTCTTCTGATAGGTTCGATGATGCAGCTGGGGCCGCTGCCGTATAGGAGCCCAGCTGCGCACAGGGCTGCAGGGAGGGGCGTCCTGCCAGGATGCTGCTAGCAGAATGGCCCAGAGATGGCCCCTCCATGGGAGCAGTGTGGAGAAAGAGGCAAGATGGCAGGGGAGGCTTTCAAAGGGATTTGAAAAGTGATGCTTTAGTTATAATATTTAGAAGAACGTGTTCAAGTAAAAACAGCTCCAACCAAATGAGGGACACATTTTATCACTTACTGAGAGATACTTTCAGTGTGATCCTGACTCAAAGATTAAATAACCATCACTGAATTATTCAGAAATACATGGTTTCTAGACAAGCGCACTTTCACTTCTGTCTTTCATTTTTTAAAGTCAGAAATGACTCTCAAGCCGGGTTTCAAACAGATGGGCATTGGGCTGTTCCAAAGGCTTTTTCCTGAACCTCCAGGTTGGCTCCTGTAAGGACACCAACTGTAACTGGGATGGGTTGAATTGTCCTTAATAGGAAGGACAATAGAAAGCAGGGGGAATTTAAGTGAGATGATGACATCTGGATGTTGATTTCTTCATTTACAACTCAACTAGATGACTAAACTAATCTTCATGATTTCTCTGAAGGTTTTCTGTTCGCTGTGACTCAGATAAAGCCATGACACTTTTTTTTTTATTTTAATTTTTTTTTATTCTTATGTTAATCCCCATACATTACATCATTAGTTCTAGATGAAGTGTTCCATGATTCATTGTTCGTGCACAACACCCAGTG